CTTTATCTCTGTATCCATTTGTCAATAAAACCCTTTGTTAAAGAAGACGCCTATGTGAAGCCACGCTATCAAGAAGCCCCCAAAAAGTCCCAACCAAAAAAACAAAAGAAAAAACAACAATATGTGCTGAAGAGGTCACAATTTGCCAAACTACACAATGACTGGCCTAAAGAGAAATGGCGCAACATTTTGTGGACTGATGAAAGCAAGATTGTTCTTTTTGGGTCTAGGGGCCGCAGTTTGTCAGATGACCCCCAAACACTGAATTCAAGCCACAGTACATTGTGAAGACAGTGAAGCATGGTGGCGCAAGCATCATATGGGGATGTTTTTCATACTATAGTGGTGGATCTATTTATCACATACCAGGGATCATGGATCAATTTGAATACATCAAAATACTTGAAGAGGACATGTTGCCTTATGTTAAAGAAGAAATGCCCTTGAAATGGGTGTTTCAACAAGACAGCAACCCCAAAGACACCAGTAAGTGAACAGCATATCTTGGTTTCAGACCCACAAGATTAATGTTATGGAGTGTCCAGCCCAATCCCTGGACCTTAATCCAATAGAAAACTTGTGGGGTGACATAAAAAATTTTGTTTTTTGAAGTAAAACCAAGAAATGCAGAGGAATTGAGGAATGTAGTGCAATTGTTCTGGGCTAGAATCCCTGTTCACAGGTGCCAGAAGTTGATGACGACTCCATGCAACACAGATGTGAAGCAGTTCTCAGAAACAGTGGTTATACAACTAAATATTATTTCAGTGATTCACAGGAAAGCTAAATCTTCAAGTATTTTTTTAGTTTATACAGTAAATGTTTGAATTTGTAAAGAAAAATGCAGATAGTGCAATTTGTTTTTAACAGCCCAATATTCCTTTTTCTTTACTTCATGTAAAGTAAGAACACATTTGAAACATTTTTCTTCCTGTTTTGATTTGGAATGAGCAAGCAGAGTTCCCAATGCATTTGTGTGTATGGAAACAAGCGCTATTATAAGGATTTTGAGCTTTACTCACTTTTTTTTTAAACACACTGCTATTATTTTTAACACAACTGCAAGTATCCCATAATAGGGATGCAGCAAGAGAGAACAGGTGTAATCACAGGGCAGCACCTTGGTGAACACCTGAGGTACTGACGAGAGGCCAAAAGGTAGGAAACCAAGTAGGCAGGAGGGAGTGGAGCTCCAGCTTGAAGCCACTGGATCTCACCTCCTGTTTCTACGCATCTGAAATGCAAGAACAATGTCCAAGAAGGTTAACAAAGTGGGCACACACCTGCATGCCAAGCAAAATTCATATGAGGATTTGTTGGACTTTTGAGCCTCAGACCTTGCAGCTGGAATGGGAGCCAAGCTTGGGGGTATGAATGATGCAGCAGTAGAAAAAACAAAATAGGTTTCTTAAGCTAAATAGAGGGAGAAGACTTTGCAGTCTCTTCCTTAGGCTTGTTAAGATGATGGGTACTCATGCCACCAATAACATCCTTTGTTCAGTGGTTTGTTTTAGAAAAACGAGCTGGATGCAATCCAAAAAACAAAACATAACTGGACATTAACATGTACTGTACAGTTAATAACACCAGAAATTCAAAAACAACTGTGGGTATAGGGCTTTGTATATGGAGTTTTTTTATTCTTTTTATTAATTTTTTTAGTGGTTGAACTAGGACTTTTTTTCAACCTATGTAGCAATGTAAAATAATGGGGGTAAAGTGGGGACCAGTGAGAACAATTCTCCAGAGAGGAATTCCTACCATTTATTGGGTGGGCCCTAAAGTGATAAGAGTCTACATTTTTTCTAAGTACTTTCAGCAGCGGATCTATTCACTGAGTGGAGCTGTCAGAGTATTAGCTGAGGGGTACCCAGTGTAGTGGGACTGTTAATCTCTCTCGCTGGTGAGGGTCAGATGGCCAAAGGTGACCAAATTAACTGTAGGCAGGCAGCAGGAACAGGCTGAAGTTCTTTGTAAAGCTTGAGCAGCAAAGGGGAGCTACTTCAACAATGTATGGCAGGAAAGAGAGCACTAAGGGGCCAATTCACTAAAAGTTACTGCATGCGAAATGAAGGTCATGTGATTTTTCAGAAATATCGCATGAGATAATAAAAGAGTTAATTCATCAAAGTTAAACATTGAATGTGAAGTAAATAGCACACATTTCTTAAAATAGTGAGATAAATACTGCAAAAAAAAAAAAAAAAGAAAGATAAATCATTAAAGTCAATTCATTAAAAACACACACATTCGTTATTTATCACCAGGTGTTTGCTGGCAGTGTTTTAGAAATGTACAAAATTACAATTAGAGGAGCTGTGCACTGGCCAGAAAGTGAAAAGTATACAATGTATCAGTGTGAAAATGTTCTCCTCTGAGCTCAGGAATGAAACTAAATTGTAACATTTCATCACAGGGAGACCATTTTGTAAATAAAAGCACACTAAAATGTTTTCATAGTTTCACAGTATTGCTGTGTGCATTCTTGTGCAGTGTTAGCCTGCAAAATGAAAAAATTGTGAAAATAAAACACCACTAAAAATTAACGCAAAATTTAAGTGCTAAATATCGCAAAACATATTTAATGCATTCAGTAAATAACGCATGTTTTTTAGTGAACAGACTACTTTTGAAATAAATACAGCACGAGTTATTTTAACCACTTGTCCTCCAGAGGATTTACCCCCCTTCCTGACCAGGCCATTTTTTGCTTTACGGTGCTGCGTTACTTTAACTGACAATTGCGCGGTCATGCAATGCTGCACCCAAATTAAATTTACGTCCTTTTTTTTCCCCCACAAATTGAGCTCTCTTTCTATGGTATTTGATCTCCTGTGCATTTTTTATTTCTTGCGCTATAAAAAAAAAAAAAGACCGACAATTTAGAGGAAAAAAAATACTTTTTGCTATTATATGTCCAGTAAAAAAAAAAAATTAAAACTCAAATTTCGTCATACATTTAGGACAAAATGTATTGTGCTAAATGTCTTTGCTAAAAAGAAAAAAAAAAAAATCCCTATACCCGTAAATTAATTGGTTTACGTGAAAGTTATAGCGTCTACAAATGGCGGTATATATACACTGGAATATTTTTTTTTAATACTAGTAATGGTGGCGATCAGCGACTTATAGCAGGACTGCGGTGGGCATTCTGGCACTGGGGGGGAACTGACTAACTGCCACTGACACCAATACAGTGATCAGTGCTAAATAGGAAAAAAAAAACACTGACACTGTACTAATGGCACTGGGCAGGAAGGGGTTAACATGAGGGGCAATCAAAAGGTTAACTGTGTGCTGTTTTACTTGTGTGTGTCCGTGTGCTTCACTATAAGCATACCGATTTGCATGGCTGTGCACAGCCATCCAAAGCAGTGTGCACGAGCTGACAGGGAGAACTGTTTTGTTTACAAACAGTTCTCCTCCCCGTCGGAGATGCTCGGCAATCACCGGCTGGGACCCTGTGTTTGACTGCCATGGCGGTGTGGGTAGGGCGAGTGCGCGCTCCCTACCCAGAGATGCAAAATCACACACACACGCACGCACGCTTTTGCGCATCCGTGTCACCCTGTAGCAGTATTTCTGCTATAGGGTGGTCGGGAAGCGGTTAACTCAAAAAATTCATGCGGTATTTATCGGTTAGTGAATTGACCCCCAAAGCATGCAACACTCCAACCATCAGATGAGAACAGTTCTCCCACAGCATTAGCCCCTACTGTGGTGGAAACAGGCAATTTAAAAAGGCACACAGAGACCTATGTATTTGAAGTAGCTCCCAGCGATTGGTCCACTTACATAGCGAGTCTAGAGACTCGCAATCTGATTACTTAATAGATAGTCAGCCAGCCTTGAAAGATAGTAGGAAAAAAGCAAGAAGGGTATGCCCACGAGCTTGACAATCCAAAGACAAAAAAGAGTGAGTAGACACACACACACACACAGGGAAAACCCCCCCCCCCCCCACACACACACTGCAATCTAGACAAGTGCACAAGATGCCAGAGACAATAAGGTGAGCAGCGACAAATCCGCATAAAGACCTGTGGGTGTCACTTGGTATGATGGATGAACTCTGCAACCTGCCTAACTATTCACTGGACATGGTTTGACTACCAGTGAAAGGTGGCATACTACGTGAAGGTAGCATACTGACCACCAACATAAGAGTACACTTACACCTGACCCCTGCATTATGCAAGCTGTGAGGCAACGTAGTCCTGACCTCTGCACTCGAACTGCAATATGTTGCATATTACATAGTTAGTCTGGTTGAAAAACAGACATTAGCAAAAAACTGAAGAGGTTATATGAGCCCTGGCTTACATTTTTTCTGTTTGCCAGTACCCCAACCTCCTGCAGGCAGTGTTATAAACCGTGAAACTCAAATTCATTAAGCAGCTATAAATATCACATCAATTGTCAGTAAAAAAAAAAAAAAAAATGCATATATATTAATATTAAAAATAAAACAGCTCTATAAAGTGCTTGTAAAGGCAATTTATTTTTAATTAAAATAAAAAAGATGTTACACTTACCTGCCCTACCCCTCACCTGCTTTTCTGGAGGCCCCCACTGGCACTCTCTGCTCCTTCTCATCTCCCAGAGCTCCCCCAGCAAGCCATGTGCGCAGGGGGCACTTGTGCAGTTGTGCTCCTACATGCAACATGGCTTGGCCAGGCCCCCCAACATGACATTTATATGTTGTCATTAAGGTGTGTGGTCATGCTGATTTTGCTGCACATTGAATTTGGGTTTCACTGTTCATAATACGTATCAGCAGTATATTCTGACAGTTTTTAAATTTGTGTCCCTCAATGAAGGAGAATGTTTTGATTATACACTTTAATGCACTGTTCCTGGTACTCAAACGTTTGTGACACTAAAAAAAAAAAGTTAACTAACTTTACATATTATTTAATTATTCAATTTCTAATATAAAAGCAGTAATCAGCCAATTAAAAAACTATGCTGGCCATAAACAAGCAAGACAATAATCATACCTGCTTTCTTCCAAAAGCTTTGGGGAAGGTATGAAATCTTCGATTGGAATAAGCTCTGCTGGGACACGTTCCAGCTTTTTCAGTTTCTTCTTCATGCGCTCCTTTGCCATTAGCTCCCGTTTAGGATCAACCTTTTTCTTCTTCCTTGGTTCTGCCCTAAAATTTCACAGTACATAGACATAATTCATGTATGATCCTTCATAACAGAGTGGGTATAGAAAAAAATCACCCCCCCTTTAAAATAATCAAATTTTGTTGCTTTGCAGCTTGAAATGAAGACAGACACCGTTTTTGTTTTATCCAGATGTATTTACTCAGTGCAACTTATAACATCTAAGTAAAAGACATAACACCGTCATAAATAAATCAACAACAGAATTACTGAGTTGGAAAAAGGATCACACCCTCCTAAAAATGACTTGTAAACCCAATCAGATGTAGCGAATCACCTTCTCAATGGCACACAAAGCCATTTGACTTTCAGCTGTGATCAGCTGTAGTCATTTTGATTAGGTCAGCATGAAAAGAGCTTTCTTGAAGCATTTCAGTCCCTGATAGTGCATCTGAAACAAAAAAATCAACTATGGATGGCAAGGCACTGTCAAAAGATCTCCGGGATGAAGTTGTGGACAGGCACAAGTCAGAAGATGGGAAAAAAAAATTCAAAGGCTTTATTAACCACTTGCCCTACTGAGGATTCACCCCGTCCTGACCAGGCCAGTTTATTGCGTTACGGCGCTATATTACTTTAACTGACAACTGCACGGTCATGCAAAGCTGCACCCAAATGAAATTTACGTCCTTAATTTCCCACGAACAGAGCTATGCAGAGCCATAGAAAGCAGTGTGCTGGAGCTGACAGGGGAGAGAACTGTATTGTTTACATACAGTCCTCCCCCCGTCGGTAATACTCGGCAAACACTGATTGCCAGCGAGTAATCATTGGCCAGGACCCGGCGATTGACAGCTGAGGCCGCAAATAGTGGTGCGGGTGGCACGGCTTGTGCATGTCCCCTACACGGAAATGCAAAATCATATATATGATTTTGCCCAGCCCTATTTCAGTATTTCTGCTATAGGGCGGCGGGAAATCGGTTAATGCCTCGAAGCACAGTGAAGTCTGTTATTAGGAAGTTGAAGATATTTGATACAGCACAGACCCTCCCTGGATGGGGTGTCACTTCAAACTGGATTAAAGAGCCAGGAGGAAGCTGGTCAGAGAGACAGCCAAGAAGGCTACAGCAACTCTGAAGCAGTTGCAGGAATTCGTGACAAAGAGTGGTCATTGTGTGCAGGTGACAACAATATCAAATTCTCCACAAATGTAGTTTGGAGGAAGGAGGGTTGCAAAAATAAAGCCACTCCTCAAAAAAGACAAATGAAAATTTGTGGAATGCACTTTAAATGAAATGGAGCAGGTCTAGAAGAATGGGCAAATATTGCAAAGTCTAGATGTGCATAGTTAGTAGAGACACATCCCAAAAGACTAAAGGCTGCATTTAAAGTGAAAGGCGGTTCAACAAAATACTGACACAAGGGTGATCCTTTTTCCAACTCAGTGATTCTGTTTTTGATTTTTTTTTTTCGGACATGTTGGTGTTATAGTCTTCTCTTGGATGTTATAAGTTGCATTGAGTAAATAAAGGCTAGATAAAACAAAAACTGTGTGCCTTCATTTCAGACTGCAAAGCAACACGTGAATTTTTTAAAGGGGGGGAGTGATTCTTTTTGTATGCCCACTGTATGTAAAAACTGTTTGTATTACAAATATTGATCTGTGTAAGAAAGCCGAATATGCCGCTGACACCTTTATACCTCATGGGAAGAGTGGTACGCAGTCCAAGCAGAGAGGTCTGCCAGTGGCTCTCTCGTCTCCATACCCAAGGGGGACTGCAAGAAAAAAAAAAAAAAAAAGATTAAATTTCCACCAAGGATTGCTCTTCACTTTATATACCAAGTGAAATATCAAATATGATACAAAACAGAAGTGACCAAGTAAACACAAAAAATAAAAGGAAAGCGAAGTCTGCAAAAAAGAATTAAAGCCGTTCTTCACCCTGGAAAAAAAAATGTAATAAAAGTCAGCAGCTACAAATACTGTAGCTGCTGACCTGTAATAAAAGGAAATTTCCTGTCCAGGGATCCAGCACCGTTCTTGCTGGTCTTTGGCAGAAGCATATGTAGTGTGGAAAGCTGGCTGTAACTCACTTCACAGCCAGCTTCCCGCTGTGCATGCGTGAGCCAATCTATGCTATGTGAATGGTCCCGCAGCTTTCTGGGATGTGTGATGTGAATCACTGTTCAGAGGGTGATTGAAAGGCGGTTAAGAGACGTTACACCATCTCCTTGCCAGCTGTTTTAATCCCTAAAAACCCCCTACATGGCACTGCACACATTTGTGGTGTGGCCCTATGCATAGGAATGGGTTACGTTTGGCGGGCGGTACTGTCAGCTGAGTGCCATATCAGAGATACTTTTGCCACACTGCAATGCAAAGTATTGTGGCCACATCATATGACCACTGCCTTTGCAGCTTAAGGGGGAACGGTTGGAGGACAGTCAAAATGCTGCTCAACTGTGTGTGTCAGCCTAAGGCTACACGCATAGAAGTGTTAGGGCAGCTTTGCTAAATACAGAACATGGATAATACTGTGATAAATGTGTCATACACATAGCAAATCTTTTACAGCCACTACAGAAAACAGAGTTTGTGGGGTTCTGCTTCATTCATAGCTACATCTCAATAGATATAAGTAGGTTTGATGTTCACAATAGGATCTGATCACATTTATTCACTTCCAGAATGCAGTATACAGCTTTATAAACAGTTTAACTATATGCGGCAATAGTGGCCCATTTTCTACGCACAGTGTGCATTAACTGAAGCCTTTGACAGCTCAAGCCATATATAATGATATGTACATATAATACTACAGAAGATTGTCAGAGCCCATGGACATGCTATAGGAGATGGTTAAAGACTATGGATATGCTGTGGATGTGGTTGGAAACCTGCTGAAGGACAGGGAACTTGTTAGATGGGACTGCTAGAATTCACTGCTATTAAAGTCCCTATACATAACAAGGGTCTTACTCCCACAACTAGCTGCAGAGGGCCACACAATAAGCACCAAAGGGCAGCATGTGGCTGCAGGTTGGGCACCAGGAATTTAGGGGGTTAAAATGTATCTAAATACAAGAACAACAATGTAATTTATTGGAGCTTTCTAGTCCTTTACACCCCGGTCACATCGATCCTGACTTTGAAAATCGTGCGACTTCACTGTAAGTCGCACGATTTCAAAGTCGGTATGTCATTGTGATTTGAGGTTTGATTTGCAAGAAATATGACACAGATGTCTATGCAAATCGCACCATAAGTAGTGCATGTACTGCTTTAGAAATCAGTGCGGCTCCGACCGCTGTAATTGTGGACAACAGGGTGCGACCAGAGTCTTAATGTGGTGGCTATATTTATTTTATTTTCTCAGGCTTTCCAAGATCTTTACAGGACTTTTCTTTAGGGTGGCTGTGGTTTGTAACTCTGTATACTTTGGGTTGCATGCTGTCAGGCTCTGGCTCACAGCAGGGCACCAGGGCAGTTTATTGAGTTGTGACCCAAATTGATTTGTGGCCATGTTTACCTTGGTCGCATGCACTGTTGCTAGGCTATGGAGATTTAGAGTGGGTTCACACTGTTGCTCTGTGGCAGCACACGGTAATATTATGTTTTTACATGTTAGTGCACTGTAGTGCTATTCATTCTCAATGAAATCCCAATCCACCTTGCCAATGAACATGTATTGCAAAACATGGTAATACATTATCATGCGTTGAAGTGCGCTGTGTTACAAAACAAATATTGCTTACATATTTTTCTGATGAGTGAAAGCAGTAAAACTCAAAAGCAAACATTAATGATATTGCAGCTTACCAGTTCTTAGATACGACAGCTGCATTAGTTTTCTTTTTTTAGTCTTTCATTTTCACCTGATGATTCAGCCAATGAGTCTGTTGTAAGTTGTTTTTCAACAGAACAAGATGTCCTGTAGATGTAGCAGTTAGGGGGTTGAGACAAACTATTTACCACTGACAGGGGTGCTTGCAAAGATCAGCCTATACACTGCTCAAAAAATTAAAGGAACACTTTTTAATCAGAGTGTAGCATCAAGTCAACTCCTGAGATATTGATCTGGTCAGTTAAGTAGCAGATGGGGTTGTTAATTTAATTAACACCAAAGCAGCTGAAACTGATTAACAACAGGTGCACTAGATGGGATGAGACAACCCCCAAAACAGGAATGGTTTTACATGTGGACGCCACTGACATTTTTTTCCCTACTAATCTTTTCTGACTGTTTTTCACTAGTTTTGCATTTGACTAGGGTCAGTATCACTACTGGTAGCATGAGGTAATACTTGGACCCTGCACAGGTAGTCCAGCTCCTTCAGGATGGCACATCAATACATGCCATTGCCAGGAGGTTTGCTGCATCTCCCAGCACAGTCTTAAGAGCATGGAGGAGATTTCAGGAGACAGGCAGTTACTCTAGGAGAGCTGGACAGGGCCACAGAAGGTTCTTAACCCATCAGCAGGACTGGTATCTGCTCCTTTGTGCAAGGAGGAACAGGATGAGCACTGCCAGAGCCCTACAAAATGACCTCCAGCAGGCCACTGGTGTGAATATCTTTGACCAATCAGAAACAGACTTTATGATGGTGGCCTGAGGGTCAAACGTCCTCTACTGGGCCCTGTGCTTACTGCCCGGCACCATAGAGCTCGACTGGCACTTGCCATTGAACACCAGAATTGACAGGTCCACCACTGGCGTCCTGTGCTTTTCACAGATGAGAGCAGGTTCACACTGAGCACAAGTGACAGACGTGAAAAGATCTGGAGAAGCCGCGGAGGACGATATAATGCCTGTAATATCTTTCAGCATGACCGTTTTGTTGGTGGGTCAGTGATGGTCTGGGGAGGCATATCCATGGAGGGACGCACAGACTCTACAGGCTAGACAATGGAACCGACTGCCATTAGGTATTGGAATGAAATCCTTGGACCCATTGTCAGACCCTACACTGGTGCAGTGGGTCCTGGGCTCCTCCTGGTGCAAGACAATGCCTGGCCTCATGTGGCGAGAGTATGCAGGCAGTTCCTGGAGGATGAAGGAATTGAACTACTGAATGGCCCCACGCTCGCCTCACCTAAATCCAATAGAACACCATGTTTGGTCCATCCGATGCAACCAGACTGTCCAGGAGCTCAGTGATGCCCTGGTCCAGATCTGGAAGGAAATACCCCAGAACACCATCTGTCATCTCATTAGGAGCATGCCCCGACACTGTCAAGCATGCATACAAGCACGTGGGGAGTACCATTTTGAGTTGCTGCAATGATATTACAGCAAAATGGACTAGCCTGCTGCATAATTTTTTCACATTGATTTTCAGGGTTTCTTTGAATTCAGTCTTCTGTAGGTTGATCATTTTAATTTCCATCAAACGATGGCGCATCCTTACATTCCTAACACATTACCCAGACCATATCAGCATAGATATCCAGCATATTTTTTCCCGATTGAGATCTGATCTGTTTTCAAAGTGTATTTAGTCATGTTTTGAGCAGTGTATTTAGTCATGTAAAACCTTTGTCCCAAAAGGAAAAATAAACAGTGCTGTAACTAGTGATGCACCGATATATCAGCTGCTGAAATAGGGTTAAAAAAAAAAAAAAAAAGTGCCTATAATAATAATTGGCTTCAGTGCAAAACCGCGTCCCATCGACACTTCAGTGCAAAACCGCGTCCCATCGACACTTCAGTGCAAAAAGCCTCTATTTAAGTTTTTTTATATATATATATATATATATATATATATATATATATATATAAAAATTATTTTTCTGTGTTACTTTCAATAAATATTAAGTTAAGTTACTTGATTGTTATTTTAAACCTAGGCGATCTCAGTGGAAGTGGAAGCTGGTACCTGTCAAAATCGGGTACCCATCCCCAAAGGTGCCAATCCTTAATGGGGAGCGGAGGACAAAGGCTTAAAGCGGAACTTCCCCTTTTGGGTGGAGATCCGCTTTAATGCTCAGCCTAGACTGGTGCACCCTCTGTTTCCTTGTTTGACATGTTCATATGTGCTTTTCTTTCTGAAGAGCAGCAAGCATTTGGATTGCTCTTTAGAGAGCATTTGATAGGCAGTAAGGAGGCATATTGCCTCCTCACCACCTGCTAGAGCACCTCGACGGCATGCTTTGAACGCAGTTGTGGGGCACCTGCAGAACAGTGCAATTCACCTGAATGGGTCCTTGTTTGTTGGGAAGTATACTGTCTGACATGGAATTTTAGCAAATATATTTGATATTTTTGGAGGGGTGGGGCCCTGTCAGGTAGGCTGTTTGGGCCCCCATGATTTTTAACAGCAGCCCTGCCCACAGGTATAGAATATGAAGAGTTACAATAGTCCAAGCTGGATCAATGTAACTATAACATCCATACCTGGCCCTCAGGTTTAATATACTGTAACCAGAGTAGGGCCCCAGCCCAGTGTGACCCCAGAGCAGCTTCTTGCACATGGCTTAGCTGTGCAAAATGAGATCATAGTGAGGCCCTTATGTATCCTACCGCAGCAATCCGTAATAGAATGCAATACGGTCCCCTATGACCCTGACCCATTCAATGATGGCGGCCCGACACTCACCAGCTCTTGCCGCCCTGCCTGCACACCCGCAGCACAGCACTGCACGCCGCCACACTCATACTCGGGTCCTCCAGCTTCCTCCGTCTGACTTCTGTAACCTCAACGTCGCCGGCGCTCTGTGCAACCCTTCTCAGCCTCCCGCCCGGAAACTGGAGCCGTGCTGCTTGGTTCCACCATGTATCGTGTGACTAGCAGAGCAGGGTGACCCTGGAACATGGGGATTCCTACCTCCAGAGCTGGTCAGCTTTAGAAGATTTTACCCCCTTCCTGACCAGGCTGTTTTTCAGCTACTTTAACCACTTGCCTGCCGGCACCTATACCCCCTTCCTTACCAGGCCAATTTTCAGCTTACAGCGATGTTGCACTTTAAATGACAATTGCACAGTCATGCAACATTGTACCCATATGAAATTTTTTTATAATTTGTTTCTCACAAATATAGCTTTCTTTTGGTGGTATTTACTTGTCCCTGGGTGTTTTACTTTTTGTGCTATAAACAAAAAAAGAGCAAAACATTTTTTAAAAAAAAGTTTTTTGTTTCTATTATAAAATTTTGCAAACAGGTAATTTTTCTCCTTCACTGATGTGCGTTGATGAGGCTGCACTGATAGGCAGCACTGATGGGCACTGATAGGCAGCACTGATGGGCACTGATAGGCAGCATTAATGAGGCAGCACTGATAAGCGGCACTGATAGGCAGCATTAATGAGGTGGCACAGATAGGTGGCACTGATAGGCAGCACTAATGAGGTGGCACTGGCGATGGGTACTGATGGCACTGACTGGTGCAATTGCTGAGCACTGACTGGTGGTACAGACTGGCAGCATTGCTGGGCTGCACTGCTGGGCACAGGTGGGTGGCACTGCTGGGCACAGGTGGGCGGAGCTGGTGGGTGGCACTGTTGGGCACCGATCATCAGGGCACTGATCATCAGTGCCCCAATGATTGGTGCCGAACCCTGCTCTGACAACTGCCGGTTCTCGGCAGTACTTTCCTCACGCTCTGACAGGCGTTTTCCTGTGATCAGCATGTCATTGGACATGGCTGATCATGTGGTAAAAGGCCTATGTGATTGGCCTTTTACCACATCACATATTCAGCTGTGTCCGTAGGACACAGCAATCACGGAGATCGCCGGGGTGCGCGTAGGAGAGCGCGTTCTGGGAGGACGTCATATGACGCCCTCCCAGAACTGGCCGGCTGCAGTGTAGCTGTCATTTGGCTATCTGCGGTCGGCAACTAGTTAACTGACAATTGCGCGGTCATGCAGCACTGTACCCTAACAACATTTATTCCATTTTTTTACACAAATAGAGCTCTCATTTGGTGGTATTTGATTATCTCTGGGTTTTTTATTGTTTATTATATGAACGAAAAAAAAAAACCCAACAATTTTGAAAAAAAAAAAAAACTATTTTTAATTTCTGCTATAAAAATTTTTTAATCTGTTAATACATTTTGGCCAAAATGTATTCTGCTACATGTCTGTGGTAAACAAAAACCCAATAAATATACAGTTAGGTCCATATATATTGGACACATTGTGAAGCCAGGCTTACTAAGAATCTTGTTTCTTTTCTCTGCTTAGCAGGGAATGAAAAAAAACAACAAGGTCCACTGTCCCTGAACACAGCTCTATGTTGTTTACATACACAGAGCTGTGTTCAGTGAAGCTCAGAGCCAATCACTGGGTGCAGGCCGGCAATCATTGGCCGGGACCCATTGATCGGCATGTGCTGTCATGAATCACAGCACAGCTGGGTGGGCACGCGTGCCTCCTGCTTGCACGCGCAGATTACATACTAGCTCTGCTTTGCTGCCGTATATAAAAGTTATACAGTCGGCAAGCAGTTAAACCACGGAATCCCTTGATCTGCTTCTCACTTTTAGTTCCCCTGTGGCTCCTCTGGCTCAGCAGAGGCCATCAAGAAAGTGATTGTATGGGGTGGGCCACAGGTTGATGAAAACTGAGTGACCTACCTGGGGGTGGCCACCACTGAGTCACTTAGCTTAGATTTATTTATTTTTATTATTTTTTTAATTACAGGTACTTATATAGCACTGTCAATTTACGCAGTGATTTATATATATTGTACATTCACATCAGTCCCTAACCCTCAAGGGGCGTACAATCTAAGGTGCCTGTATCTGTCCTTTACAGCTCCCAAAAATGAGTGGGGAAAAGAGATTTTGAGCCAGATGGTGGTTTCTAAAACTGGCCTGTCTGGTTCAAAACTACTCAGGTGGCTACCACTGCCAATGCTTACTAGGCCACAGCATCTTTCCAAGCAGATGGATCATTATTATGGAGACACAACAACAGACACTAGTACAAATCGGCAATGATGGGAGGTCTGCGCTCTTCTGTCACCACTCACACACCTGTACACCGTGCTGCCTCTTACATCAAAGAGCTCGCCTGAAGGACTACTGAGGGTTGTAGGATTGTCACAATAAAACAACATCCTTGAAAAACCAAAAAAAAAAAAACGTTTATGTCAAAACACTTTATTACAAATGCTTGCACAGGTACAACACTTTTTCATATAACTTTCAATTATAAAATGACTTCCAGGATTTTAATAAATACAACAAAAATAAAATTACGAGTATACTGACCCTCAACAAAATACAAATAAATTTTATTTTAACAACCATTTACATAAAGCAAATTTCACAGAATATATATAGCTATGTGCATTAACGCACAGAGGGAGTCGGCAGGGAGTGAGCACACAAGACTGGCCGCACAGCACACTAGAAGAAAGGAACCACTACAGACAGGAAGGTATGGAGAGCGGTAATGGGGCTGCCTGAATGAGGAAGATAATGTTTTAAAAGGACGAGAAACTGCTTCTAACGCAAGTGTGGACCTGCTTTGCTAAATAAAGGAATAATAAATAAATAAAAATAGAGTTTAACCGCTTTCCTGCCTCCCTATAGCAGGAACACTGCTACAGGGCAGCGGGGCTGCTCAAAATCACGTATATAAATATATATATACTGTATATATATGTGTGTGTGTGATTTTGCATTTCTGGTTAGGGGGCGCGCATGCGCCCTACCCGCACCGCTGCCATTTACGGCCTCAGCTGGGCCGTGATTCCCCGCCGGCACCTGGCGATCGCCGAGTATCACTGATGGGGGAGAGACCTGTATGTAAACAATACAGATCTCTCCCCTGTCAGCTCTTTCCCCTATATATACCGCCATTTGCGGACACTATAACCTTCACGTAAACCATCTAATTTACATGTATTTGGGTTTTTTTTTTAGCCAACACATGTTGCAGAATACATTTTGGCATAGAGTTATGACAAAATTTGATTTTTTAAAATTTTTTTACTTGACATGTGTAATAGTAAAAAGTAAAAAATATAGTTTTTTTCTCAAAATTGTCCGTCTTTTTTTGTTTATAGCACAAAAAAATAAAAAACACACAAGCAATCAAATACCACTGAAAGAAAGCTCCATTTGTGGGAAAAAAAAGGACATAAATTTAATTTGGGTGCAGCGCTGCATGACTGTGCAATTGTCAGTCAAAGTAACGTAGCACCGTATCGCAAAAAATGGCCTTGTCAGGAAGAGGGGTAAATCCTCAGGAAGGCAAGTACAGAGGGGGTACGTCTGGTGTTAGTTCACTTTTGAATTTTTTTGTAAAGGTGAATGAACCAATTGAATGAACTATATCATTAATGTCACTTTAAGCTGTTTTGAGAAACTGTATGCACTGGATTGGGCATATTTATAGTACAGAAATCACTCTCCCTCCAGTAGCTTTTATAGAAACTCATGTATATACATAAAGGTTGTGGGAGGGGTTGGTTTCTCTGTCAGCCTTAAAGGATAAGTTCACCTTTTGATAAATAAATGCAAATTTTTTTTTCAGGTGAAAAAATGTGCATTTATTAATTTTTGTTGCAGGAGCCTGGAAAGCATTGCACCAGTGATCAGCAGATTGCTGGTGTCATGCAGGTCTCCTGCAGATCTGTCAATATATCTGCTTGCCCGTACGGATTGGTACAGGGCAAGGCATGGTAAGTCAGTAATAGGGAAGAGCTCCACTCCAAGGAGGATACAGACAGTAGTGGTGCTAAGTCCTTTGCCATCTGTTTGTCTTTTTTGGGGAAGTTTCCACCGTACAGGTTCCCTTTAAAAGGATAAGTTCACCTTTCATAACATGTTAAATGTTACACCCACATTCGAGATGTAACATGTTATGAAAGCACCGGCCCCTGCTCCCTGCCAATGGGATGTATGAGCAAGCAGATATACTGACAGGAAGAATCAATGAACTACCACAGCGCCACGGTAGCTCATTGAGAACTACAAGCCGACACCTACTATATATATTGATAGATCTGCAGGAGATATGCATAACACCAGCGATCTGCTGATCTGTACTTCTCCGCACACTCCATGTGTCCCCCATAAACTCCCCTGTACGCAGAGTACACTCCTTGTGTCCCCCATACACAGATCACACTCCATGTGTCCCCCAAAAATGCCATGAACACAAACCACACTCCATGTGTCCCCCATAAACTCCCCTGTACACAAACACACTCAATGTGTCCCCCGTAAATGCCATGTGTCAAACATAAACTACCCTGTACGCAGAGCACACTCCATGTGTCCCCCATACCCAGATCACACTCCATGTGTCCCCATAAATGTCCATTTACACAGAGCACACTCCATGTCCCCCCAAAAATGCTATGTACACAAACCACATTCTATGTGTCTCCCATAAATGCCATGTACACAGAATACCCTCCATGTGTTCCTCCATAAATGCCATATACACAGAGCACACCCATGTGTCCCCCATAAATGCCATGTACACAGAGCACACTCCATGTGTCCCCCATAAACTCCCCTGTACACAAAACACACTCCATGTGTCCCCCATAAATGCCATGTACACAGAGCACACTCCATGTGTCCCCAATAAACTCCCCTGTACAAAGAACACAATCCATGTGTCCCTCCTAAATGCCATGTACACAAAACACACTCCATGTGTTCCCCCATAAATGCCATGTACACAAAACACA